CTCTCTCTCTCTCTCTCTCTCTCTCTCTCTCTCTCTCTCTCTCTCTCCCAGGAAGACCCTCAGCCATGATGTGCCTCTGGTTTCTCAGCTCACTGCTGGCCCTGAGCCAGGCTCTGCCCTTTGAGCAAAGGGGCTTCTGGGATTTCACCTTGGATGACGGGCTGGCCATGCTCAATGATGAAGAAGCATCCGGAGCTGACCTCACCTCAGGCCTGCCTGACCTGGATGCCCTCACGCCCACCTACAGTGCCATGTGTCCCTTCGGTTGCCACTGCCACCTGCGTGTGGTCCAATGCTCAGATCTGGGTGAGAAGGTGCCCTGCGAGGGGGCCCATGGCGAACCAGAGCATGATTCAGGCCTGGAAACCATAAGCCCACACATTTCCAGGCTTTAAAAAAAATTAACTCCATGCTGTTTCTTTTATCAAATCTTGCCAAATTCTAATCTATTGCCACTAGCCCCTCCCAGGCCCCCCCCCCCCCCACTGTCTCTCTCTCTCTCTTAGCCATCCTGCTCAGGCTGCCAGACTCATCCTCCTAAAGCTCAGCTCTGATCTTGGCCTTCCTCTGCTCAAGAGCCTTCCATGGTTCACTATTACCTGCCTTCCTCTGCCTCATCTTCAAGGCTCATTATGACCCCATCCTACCTCTTCATCCTTATTTCCCCCAGCTTCCCCATAGGACCCTTCATTCCAGCACGTACTAGGCTCGTTCTTACCTTTTCCCATGTGACAGCCCCCACCCTACTTCTGGCTCCCCCATACCTCCCCATTCATCTCTTCCTGTCCTGACCCTGCCATGCACTACCAAGCAAGGACTGCTGTTTTTGCTTATGAGTAAGACTCTTCTTGCTAGCCAGGCTAAGAGGTCCCTAGGGCCAGAGTTTGGGTCTCTACTTTTCCTTACCTCCCCAACCCTCCCAGTGTAGATGAATGAGCCCAGGGCTAGACAGACATGGGAGGGAAGAGCAGCAATCTCTTAGGGTCCTTACACCAACTGGGGCCAGGAGGGCAAGGAGGAAGGGGAGGGGAAGGTGCAGACCAATGCTGATTTTATACAGCAGGAAGCTAAGGGCAGAGGCTAGAGAGGAGAAGAGGCTTAGCCAGGGTCACAGGGCCCCTTAGTAGCAGATCTGGGACTAAGAATCAGGTCTCCGAATTCCTTCCCCTCCCCCAGCTCTGGCTACCATGGCCTGGGCCTCCCATATGAGGTGTCCCTGGGCCTTGGCCTGGGATGGGGGCTCACCTGGACTGTGGCGGGGGCTCTCACCACAGGCTTGAAGACCGTCCCCAAGGAGATCTCCCCGGATACCACCCTCCTGGACCTGCAGAACAATGGTATCACCGAGCTCAAGAAGGATGACTTCAAAGGCCTCCAGCATCTCTATGTAAGGCTGGGGGCCCTATTGGGGCAGGCCCTGTTGGGGCAGGCCCGGCTGGGCCACCCAGGCTAGCCAGGTCTGGAGGCAGAGGAAAGGGAGGGCTCATGCCCCATAGCCTGCTTAGAAAGGATCTGGGTGGGGGTTTGTGGGCCTGGCTCTGGAGTTAGAAAATCTGGATTCAAATCCTGTCTCTGCTGCCTCTGTGTGACTTTGGGCAAGTCCCTTCCCTTCCCTGGGCCTCAGTTTCCTCCTCCATAAAATGAAGCCGTCGGACTAGGTGGCATCAGAGGTCCCTTTCAGCTCCAGAGCTCAGCCCCTATGAATCTATGTGCGGGGTAGCATGTCTGTATGTGACTCTTCCCAGTCCCTTCATCTTGATCCCAGAGTTGAAATATGGGACTGAGGTGGCAGCACCCAGAGAAGCCCCTTTAAGCAAGTATTTTCTCCAAGCCTGACTGAGTGTGGAGTCAAAGAAAGACTCCTTCCGGGCGGCCCCTCACCCGTCCACAGGAAGCACAGATCTACTAGAATATTATCAGGTTCAAATCTCTGGTGTCCATCAGTTTGGGCCATTTAACTTTGTGACAGGACACACGTGTGCCCTTCCAACCCTGAGAAGTAGGCAAGGCAGCCACTGTTGGGACCAGGGGACATCTGAGGCCTGGAGAGGGGCAGCGGATTGTCTGAGGTCATGTAGTCAGGCTTGGATTGACAGCCTCCTAGATCTCAGAGACTGTTCTCACCAGAGCGAGTGCCTTTGGGATAGGGTGGAGGGGTAGATGGGTGTACACTCGGGAAGGAAGTAAGGGGAGAAGGAAAAGGGCTTCCCTCTCCTTGGCAGGCTTCCAACTGATGCTGGATCACCCAGTTGACCAACCATAGTCGGCCATGTTGGAGAAGGAATTTTTGTCCTTGGTGGGCTAGTTGGCCTTGGAGGGCCTTTCCTGCTCCAGGAGTCTGTGACCTAATGGGTCTTGTCCTTCTTCCTTGTCTCAGGCTCTGGTGCTGGTAAATAACAAGATCTCCAAAATCCACCCAAAGGCCTTTAGCCCACTTCGAAAACTGCAGAAGCTCTATATCTCCAAGAATCACCTGGTAGAGATCCCCCCAAATCTGCCCAGTTCCCTGGTGGAACTGAGGATTCACGACAACAAAATCAAGAAGGTATCCAAGGCGGTGTTCAGCGGGCTCAAGAACATGAACTGCATTGGTGAGTGGGCCTTAACCTCCCCCCACCCCGTCACCCCCACCCCCACATATATGAACGTGCCTACGTGGGCTGTGGACATGTCATCCTGGGCTCATCTGATCGAGGAGAAGACCCCTAGCAGCTAGAGTGTACCAGCCCAAGCCCTTCAAGACTAGAGAATGTCGGGGTAGCTAAGTGGCACTACTGTGGATAGAGCACTGACCCTGAAGTCAGGAGGACCTGAATTCAAATCTGGCCTCAGACCAAACACTTGACACTTACTAGCTGTGTGACCCTGGGCAAGTTACTTAACCTCAATTGTCTAAAATAAATTAAAAAACAAACAACAGGTATTTTAAAAAAATCATCCAAGAGGCAGCTAGGTGGCGCAGTGGATAGAGCACTGGCCCTGAAGTTAGGAGGACCTGAATTCAAATCCAGCCTCAGACCAAACACTTGACACTAGCTGTGTGACCATGGGCAAGTCACTTAACCCCAATTGCCTAAAAAAAAAAAAAAAAAAAAAGACTGGGGAATGTCATAGGGAGTCTGACAAGCATGAGAGACAAGGACACCAAAGTGTGTGTGTGTGTATGTATGTATGTAAGGGCTTAATCACTTTACTCAAAACAGAGGCCCTCGGGCTCTCAATCAATTCCTATTGACTCTTAATTTGCACATACCTCTAATGAGCTTATCGATCTAGTTTCCCAGCCCACAGAAAATTAGAAACAGTAAATTATGTTGGGATAAGAGTGGGAGGAGAGGGAGAACATGCTAAATAGAAGTAGGCATGTTGACAGCAGTTAGAAGTGTTCACTGATAGCATGGCAATGAGAGAGGAAAGAGAAAACTCTGCACTATTATATAGCTCTACATACTTCGGCAGCCCAGAAGGAGACATTATATTTCAGCTTAGGACAACAGTGAATGTCGTTAGGATGGTTCCAAGTCACCGAGGAAATGTCAGATTGTGGTCAGTGTTAGAAACATTTCCCATCCCCAACAGTTGGCCTGGTCCTTAGCCTCTAACCCTGACTCTGGCTTTGGTGTCATTCTTTTTTTTTTTTTTTTTTTTTTTTGATGAGGCAATTGGGATTAAGTGACTTACCCAAGGTCACACTGCTAGTAGGTGTCAAATGTCAAATGTCTGAGGTCGGATTTGAACTCTGGTCCTCCTGACTCCAAGGTCGAAGCTTTATCCACTGCGCCACCTAGCTGCCCCTTTGGTGTCATTCTCGTTCTCTCTTCTAGCTGGGGAAGAAGGATGGAAGAGAGGTTCAGAAAGACCTGCGAAGGTGTGGCCAGCTGTGGGGAGGCGGGGCTTGAGGCAGAAAAGCCAGAGTAAGGGTGGCCGGATGTGGGTTAGGGGAGGTTTAGGAAGGCAGAGGGGAGCTTTTCAGCCCTGGGATGGGCCTCACTGGCTTGCCCTTTCCCTCCATCTCTTTCTTCTCTCTCCCCTCATCTTTTCTCAGAAACTTTACCCCGTGTTTCTCTTACTTCTCCTTGACTCAATGTGTCTCTCCCTTTCTCTGTCTTTATGTCTCAGTCAACCACTTCAAATGATCATATATTCACAAAGTACCTACCATATGAACAAGAGCATCCCTATCCAGCAAGGAGTTTATGATCAAAGGGGTAGACATAGGACATGGGCACAAATAATTATGCAGCAGAATAGATGAGGTTAAGCGCAGAAGAGAGATTGTAGGAGACACTGGAGGTCTGAGGTAGGAGAGAAAGCACTTTTGACCAGGAGGATGGGTGAAAGCCTTAGAGGTGGATGTTTCAGACTTGCTGGTATGGGGAAAGATTGGGAGAGAAGGCTGAGGATGTGGAGGTAGGGAAGGTTCTGGCTATACAGGTCCTTGTGCTTGGTCCCTCAGCCAGGTTCTGACCCTTACGGACCTAGGCAGGTCTGCTAACCCTTTGTCCTGTTCTGCTATCTTGGCTAACCTTTCGTGGACTATGGGTTTCATTTCTTTCAGAGATGGGAGGGAACCCCTTGGAGAATAGTGGTTTTGAACCTGGAGCCTTTGATGGTCTGAAACTCAATTACCTTCGCATCTCGGAGGCCAAGCTCACTGGCATCCCTAAAGGTAACTGCCTCTTTCCCACTCTTTGAAAGTCTTATCCAGAGAAATAATTCTGCCCCCCACATCCCTAGGAAGCCTAGAGCTGGAAGAGACCATGGAGATCATCTATGCCAACCTACTCCCTTAATCCTACAGAGAATATCGGGTAGAGTTGGGGCTTAGCCAAGGTCAATGAAGGTCTTCTAACCTCCAGGCCAGGGCTCTGACTGCCATGTGCTATTGCCAGGTCCCAGAGCCATGCTAAGCGTGCTCCACATGGTGCCTTCCCTCTGGGGTAAGAAGGGTGGCAGGTGGTTACAGGGCAGCAGGGTCCCCTCCATACACTGGCCCTTCCCAATCGGGGATTGGCATGAGCCTATGTGGTAGAGGTATGTATGTATGGGAGGGTGACAATTCTCCCCTCATCCCAGCCTTCTCCTGTCTGAAATTTTGCCTCCTTCTAAGTCACAGATAGGTCAAAACACAACAGCCCCCATTAAGATGAATCCAGGAGTCCCGGGAGAATAATTGAGGGTCTTTGTGCTGCCCCCTACTAGTGCTCTTTTTGCAGCTCTTCTCTTCTCAGAGAGTGCCCGTCAGCCTCTCAGACCCTCCTCTGTTCCCCCCCATTTTCCCCTGCCATCTCATACGGAGTTGTGTGGGACAAGATTGGGTCTGACTCCCAGTAACATCAACCCTTCCGTCCCCATCCCCAATGTCCTCTTTTGCCTCCAGATCTGCCTGAGACTCTGAATGAACTCCATCTGGACCACAACAAGATCCAGGCCATTGAGTTAGAGGACCTTCTCCGGTACTCCAAGCTCTACAGGTCAGGCCCGGGGGTGGCTGAAGTGATCATGGGTAGCAATGCCTCTTGCCTCCCCCTTCCCATAAAGAGGACAGTTCACTATGACAAGACAGAGCCGTTGGAGATGAGGAACAGGCCTGCCAGCTAAGAATGGTGTCCCCTACCTTCCCACACTTCTAATTCAGTCTTTGCTCTCACTCTCATTCCAGGTTGGGCCTGGGACACAATCACATCCGAATGATTGAGAATGGGAGCCTGACCTTCATGCCCACCCTGAGGGAACTCCACTTGGACAATAACAAGCTGGCCAAAGTACCCCCGGGCCTCCCTGACCTCAAATTCCTTCAGGTGAGAGTAGGCCAAACCCAGTGTCAATTCCAGTTGACCCTCTGGGCATTCTCTGTGGGCATCAGGACTCATTTGTTTACATCTCTAACCTCTCCATTTACCTTGGTCAATACAGGAAGGGAAGCCCCTTCCTTGCTCCAAGCTGAAAGCCTGACAAGGTAAACCTTGCAAGGACCCAAGCTGTGTTCAGTCATGTCCAACTGTTTGTGATCCCATTTGGGGTTTTCTTGGCAAAGGTACTGGAGAGGTTTGCCATTTCCTTCTCCAGCTCATTTCACAGATGAGGAAACTGAGACAAACAGGGTGAAATGACTTGCCCAGGGTCACACAGCCAGGAAGTGTCTGAGGCCAGATTGGAACTCAGAAAGATGAGTCTTCCAGACTTCAGGCCCAGTACTCTGTGCACTGTGGCGCCACCTAGCTGCTCTTAGAAGAGACCTTAAGAGACCTTCTAAACCAGCCTCCTCGTTTTAGAGGTGAGGAAACACATCCAGGGGGCAGGTGACTTGCCCAGAGTCACACAGCCAGGAAATGTGTCAGGCCACATTGGAACTTGGGAAAATGAGTCTTTCTGACTCCAGGTCCAGCACTCTGTGCCTTTTGGCACCACCTAGCTGCCCAAAGGGGCCAAGAGGAAATGCTATCTATCTAGTCCTAGCATGGAGGAGGAAGGGAAGACCAGGACAGGCCAAGATGCAGAGATGAGCTGGTCTCTCAGTTCTACTCCAGGAAGGTCCCCACAAGGTAATTGTTTCATTGGGTTGGAAATTAATCTCCCAAGCACTGTCACACATCTCTATTTCTATGGAAAAATAGAAGCAAGCTTGATTCTAAGGTCAGATCTGGGAAGAGGGGTGGGCAAGCAAATTCCCTGCTAATTTGCCACTAAAATCCACAGCTTCACCCCTTTCCATTAGTATAGATTCCCATCTAGTAAGGACTGAAAATATTTATATAATGCTGGAAGCTTTGCCAAGTACTTTACATTGTCTCACTTGACCCTCACCACCACCATGTGAAATGGGTACTATTGTTATGCCTATTTTACCAATGAGGAAACCGGGGTCAGAGAAGGAACAGGGCTTGCCCAGGGTGCATGGGGGCAGGATTCTGGCCCAGGTCTTCCAGACTCCAGGCCCAATGCTCTATCCACAAAATCATGCAGCAGCGTAAGGTCAGCTGGAATGAAGAAAGCCTCTGCCTGGCCTCACTCCTCCCTCTCTTTCATACCAGGGGCAGGCATTATTGGCTATATGACGACAAACTGACAAGTTAAGGCCTCTTCTGACTGTACAGAGAGAGGCTGGGGTGGGGGAGAGCCCCAAAGAACCCTGGGAGAGGTAGCCTTTAAACTATAGACATGAGTCCTCAGGCTCCCTTGGGGCTCTGAAGAGAGCCAAAGGTTCACCAAACCTCAAGCTTCCCTGAAGAAGGAGAGTACAGGACTCATCCCAGCTCTGAAGAAAGGGAAAAGCAAACCCAGAGTTTGAGGGGCAGCATGGCTGTAGTGCACAGAGCTCTGGGCCAGGAGTCAGGAAGACTTGAGTTCAAATCCAGCCTCAGACACTCGCCTATAGTGTGGCCCTGGGCAAGTCACTTCACCTCTGTTTCAGTTTTTTCACCTGTAAAATGGGGTCAGAAGCCATCTAGACCTCTGAGGCCCCTTCCAGCTCTAGCTTTAGGATCTTATGATTCCCTCCTGGGGCTCTGAAGGGAGCTGGGCAGGGAAGGGGGAGGCTCACTTCTGCCCTGCCCCTCCCTTGCAAAGACATCTTAGACTCTCTCAAACATGTATATGTTTGGGGTCTGACTTATTAGGAGATACAGGCCAGGGTCCAAGCCTGACAGCAGCAGTGTGAAGACCTGGCCCCTTGGGATTAAGGCCTTTCCTTTCTCCCTTCCCCTTCCCCAAAGAGCTCTGGCCTGGGAAATAAGAGACCTGGGTTCTAGTACTGGGTCCTCAATCTGCCACTGGATTCTCTGAGGGCAAATGGATTGAGCTGCCCTGGGGAAAGTGAGTTCCTGAATTTCTCCAAAGGCCCCTGTAGCCCTGACATTCTGTGACTCCGTGAAAGAAGACCCTAGCCCCCTCACTGTGCCTTTGAAAAGGGAATGGAGGGACCTCCAGCTGTGGCCATCTGGTGCTGGGGGAGGTGCAGAGAGGGACCAGAGCCCCGAGCCTGGCCCTGCCGCCCCACATTCCACATCCACTGGACAACGGCGCCCTCTGGTGGTCAGAGAAGATGCTTCCTTTTTCTTCTCAGAGATGCTCTCACTTTAAAATGAGAGACAGAGACTGAGAGACAAAGACAGGGAGATTTTCTTTTTCCAAAGAGACTCCTTTCACCTTTCTGCTATATCCCATGTAGCAAAGGAATGTTCCTCATTTCTACTTTCAAATTTCCCAGCCTGTGCCCTCTCAACCTTGGGCTGCCCATTGCAGCCTGGGATTATTCAAGACCTACTTCAGCAACCTTTTGGCTTAGCAGAGAAACATCTCAAGAGTCCCAAAGTCTCAGAGAGGAGAGGGACCTTAGATCCCAACTAATCCTCCTCTCTAGTGCTTCTTCCTCATCTTCTGAGCTGTTCAGGTGATGTCCAGTGGCTACTGACTCTGAGAGCTCTGAAGGGGAGGGGGAGACCCAGGTGATTAAGAATTTCCCCCACCACAAGTATCTTTGTTTGAATCTACGGGGGTGGGGGAGAGGGAGAGAGGGAGGGAGGGAGAGAGAGAAAGAGAGAGAGAGAGATACAGAAAGAAAGAGATACAGAGAGAGATACAGAGAAAGAGATGTAGAGAGAAAGATGCAGAGAGAGAAAGAGAGACAGAGAGAGAAAGAGAGAGATACAGAGAGAAAGAGAGAGATACAGAGAGAAAGAGAGAGATACAGAGAGAAAGAGAGAGATGCAGAAAGAGAAAGAGAAAGAGAGAGAGGGCACTCTCTGCCCACTTTGGGGCAGCTTTCATTATGAGCAAATTTTTTCTGTTGTTTGTTCAGTCATTTTTCAGTTGTGTCCAACACTCCATTAACCCTATTTGGAGTTTTCTTGGCAAAGATACTGGAATGGTTTGCCATTTCTTTCTCCAGCTCATTTTACAGATGAAGAAACTGAGGCAAACAGGGTTAAGTGACTTGCCCAGGGTCACTCAGCTAGGCAGTGTCTGAGGCCAGATTGGAACTGAGGAAGATGAGTCTTCCTGACTCCAGGCCTGGAGCTCTGTCCACTGCATCACCACCTAGCTGCCCTATATCTTTCAGTTTCTCCCTAAATCATCTCTCTTCCAGGTTAAACACCCTGAGATCATCAAAAGATTTGTGATTTTAGAACCAGAAGGGCCCCTCAAAAGCTAGTGTGGGCCCCTCATTTGTCACAGGAGGGAACTGAGGAGAGGACGAGTACAATGACTTTCTGTTAACCTTAAGCACCATAGAAACATCTGTTGTTTTCCAAGCTCACTCAGACAGCAAGTGGCCAAGCTAGGATTTGGTCCCAAATCTGCCAACACTAAATTCACGTCTAGATACCGCAAACCCCTATACCTAGGAATGATGGCACCTGGAACACTGAAGTATGATGACTCCTGTGTGTGGTTGAGGCAAAAAAGGGGACAGAAGGCATGGGAGTATGGGAGCTAAGGAACCCAGAGACCTGGGTATTCAAAGGAAGCAGCTTGGGGGTAGACAACAAGGTGGTGATCGAAGCATTGAACTTTTAGGGAGGAGGGAGAATGAATGACTTGGGCAGTTCCTAGAAACCACCAAAAACCTGCACAGGAGAAAAAAAAATTTTTAAAGACAAGAAGTGGCCAAGAAGTCCAGTTCTCCTTCCTGGCCCTGGGGGGGTCAGGAAAGGAGGAGCAGCCTTGGGCTAGGGGGCCAATAGAAGTGGTGCCTTCAAGGAGAAAGTTAAGCTTCACTGAACATTAAATGGAAGGAGTCCCAGAGAAAGCTCTCACATGAAGGGGAGGAGTTTGTTAACAATAAAGGAGGGTTCCATAGGACAGAGTGGAGAAAGCAGGCAGAGAATCGAGGAATTGGGAGAATGGGGGGGGGGGAGACAGTGTCCATCTTTGCCACTGATTCACCACTCTCATCTTGCATGCATCTCAGGCTAGGCAGGGCATTAGAGGAAAGGCGCTGTCATAGGAAAGCTGGCCCAGGGAGAAGGGCATGAGAGCCACAGGCCCTTGGGGGTCCCCAGGAAGGGGAGGAAAGAAGCATGTCCCTCCATGTTGGCCTCTGGGGCAAAGCCCCCACTGGGGGCTTAGCAACACGCATATTAACAAGGCCTCTCCTCCCTCCCACACTCCTGACAGGTGGTCTATCTTCACTCCAACAACATCACCAAGGTGGGCGTTAATGACTTCTGCCCCGTGGGCTTTGGTGTAAAGCGGGCCTACTACAACGGCATCAGTCTCTTCAACAACCCTGTGCCCTACTGGGAGGTGCAGCCAGCCACTTTCCGATGTGTCACTGACCGCCTGGCTATCCAATTTGGCAACTACAAGAAGTAGTGAGGAGGGGGAGGAGGCAGCAGGACCCCCTTGGGAAAGAGACCCGGCTGAGAAGGGAGAGAACAGGAGAGAGACACAAAGAGGGTATAGGAGGAGGCAAAGCCATGCGTAAACCCAAATCCCAACGGCCTCACCCTTAGCCCAGACCTTCATCCACACTTGAACCCCAAACTCCAATCGAATGCGAATTTGAATTCCCAACTGCCTTGCAAACGTGTCCCAGCCCCTAGCCCTGGTCCTCAGTGAGAGCCATCTCTTTTTGGTTTCTTTGCTCTCCGGCTCCCTGACCTCCTACCACATCCAAGGCTATAGTTGAATATAGATAGAGGTGAGGGAGCTTGGGAGAGGCAAGGGGCAGGCAGCCATGTCGCAAAGCTGGGAGCCCTGGCCTCTAGCTTTCCAGCAGAATCCTTCCCCAGATCTGGTACTTTCTGGAGAACCAGGGAGACAGCCAGCCTGGTTAGGGTTTCCCCCCCCCCCCCCTACTCTCCCCACCCCAATCCGACCGAATCTCCAAAGCTCTAGTTCTGGGCATTTTGTTTATGTGGTTCTATGTTGGGTAGAGTTTAGTCCCAGTGTGTACCCCAGCAGGGATGTCTCTCTCCTCACCTTTATCCCTTCCTTGGCTCTTTCCTCTGCTCTTTCTCTACTTCCCCATTCTCCTCTTTCCTTTCTGTGTCTTCTTTCTCTTCTTCTCCATCTTTTCTTTCCCTTCTTTATTTCTCCTCTTCTCTCTCCTGGTCTCTCTCTCTCCCCTCTTCCCTTTTCCCCTTTCTCTTGACTCTCCTCTCTATCTTCTCTTCCACTTTCCTCTCTTAGTTTCTCCTCTCTTCTATCTTCTCTTCCTCCATCTTCTCGTTTCTGTCTCTTCTCCCAGGTTCTGCCACCTTTCTTCCTCTTTTCTCTCCTTCCTTTCTTTGCTTCCCCTATCCGTTCTTCTCTGCTCCCCTTTTCTCTTTCACTTTCCCTTCTATTTTCTCTATCTAGTTTCTTTTTATCTTTCCCTTTCTCCTTCCACCCCAGCCAAAGTGGCTCTCTTCCTCTCCCCCTACCCCTTCCTGTCTTTCCCTTCCTGTTTTTCTCTGCTCTTCCCTCTACTCTGATTTTCTCCCATCTTTTTTCTCTCTGTCTCTGTCTCTGTGTCTCTGTCTCTCTCTCTGTCTCTCTCTGTCTCTCTCTCTAATTTATATCTTTCCTTCCATATGTTTCTCTCCCTGACTTTTCTCTCCTCCTGTCTCTCACCTCTCTACTCCCCTCTGGCTCTCTCACTTCCCTCTCCTCTCCCCTCCCCTCTCTTTTCCTCAATTCCCTCTCTTCTCTCCTCTGTCTCTCTCATTTCTCTCCTCCTCTCCTTCTCTCTCCCTCACTTCTCTCTCTCCTTCCCTTTCTATTCCCTACTTCCCTCTCTTCTCCCTATCTCTCTCACTTCTCTCTTCCCATCTTTCTCCATCACTTCTCTCTCCTTCCCTCTCCCTCACTTCTCTCTCCTTCCCTCTCTCCTTCACTTCTCTCTCCTCCAATCTCTCTCTCACTTCCCTCTCCTCCCGCCTCTCTCTCACTTCACTCTTCCAATCTCTCTCCCTCACTTCTCTCCTTCCCTCTCTCTCCCTCACTTCTCTATCCTCCAATCTCTCTCTCACTTCCCTCTCCTCCCATCTCTCTCCCTCACTTCTCTCTCCTCCAATCACTCTCTGCCACTTCTCTCTCTCCTCCCTATCTCCCTTACTTTTCTCTCTTCCCATCTTTCTCCATCATTTCTCTCTCCTTCCTTCTCTCTCCCTCACTTCTCTCTCCTTCCCTTTCTATCCTTCACTTCTCTCTCTCCCATCTCTCTCCCACACTTCTCTCTCCTTCCCTCTCTATCCCTCACTTCTATCTCCCTCACTTCCCTCTCCTCCCATCTCTCTCACTTCTCTCCTCTCTCTCCCTTACTTCTCTCTCTCCTCCCCATCTCCCTCACTTATTTCTCTCCTTCCCTCTCTCTCCCTCACTTCTCTCTCTCTTGCCCTCTCTCTCCCTCACTTCTTTCTTTTTCTCTTTTCTCCCCCTTCCTCTTCTCTACATCCTGTGCCTCAGATACTACCACCATCTACTCTTTATCACTCAGTCCCCAGGGAAAGTGGAAGCTTGCCTTAACTCGTTAGCCCCAACCCCATGTGCTAAGGGGATCACAGCCCTAAGTGGATGGAAAGAGGTTGATGGAGGAAGACCTGTTTCTGAACCTCAGGAGAAGAGATGGGCTATGGGATGGGGATGGTGTTGAAAGGAACATAACTGGGAACTCAAGGAACGGATATGACTTTCCTAGAAGCTGAGGTGGGAGATGGTAGGACCTGACTGATCCCTATTCCTGGCTCTGGTGTCCCACCTTGGCCTTGACATCCAGACTGGAGGAGCCCTTGACCCTGGAGACCATCAGGTAGAGGTGTATTGCCTTACCCAAGCTAATTCCTCATGCTAGCAGGCTATCTGGGCCCACCCCTGTACTAGGTGGGTAGGAGGGGGTGCAGCTTAATCTTAGGGCCCTGGGCTGGGAGGACAAATGCACCAAGAGAACGATTCTATCAAACACTATCTCCCATCACCCCCAACCTATACCCAAGAAACTGAGCTTCCTTTGAGAGGCGAGGGCAGTGATGGGCCCTTGGGCCAGGAGCAAGTAGTGAAGGGGTTGAGTTTCCTGCTCCCCCCACCCCCACCCCCTTGGACCCCCTTCCCCTCGGCAGTCTTCGGGGCTCCTCCCTGCACTGTATGGGGCACCCGGAGCGCCATCCCTCTGGTGTGACAGCTGTTGTTGGAATGATTAAAGAGCCAATGTGCAATAGGAAGAAGCCCTGTGTGGCCCTTCAATGCAGGCTGGAGGGAGCGGGGCAGGGAGGAGCCTGCTGGGGAGATGGGGGCAGGGCTAGAGGCCCTCTCAGACCTGGCCTCTGCCGCCGCAGCTGCCGCTGCCACCTCCTCCTCCAGCTCCATCGCTGAGCAGAACGCTCTGCTGGGGGCGGGGTGGGGACAGCGTGGAAAGCACCAGATTTGGAGTTGGGGAACCTCAGTTCAATTCAGGGATTTGCTACTTCCTAGCAAATCCCTTCCCCTCCCCAGGCCTCAGTTTCCTTCTCTGTAAAATGAGATTGGGCAAAATGGCCTGTGAGGTACCTTCCAACTCTAGATCAATGATCTAGGAGAAGATAGGCAGGAAGAGACCTGGGCCCCTCCACTACTTGAAACCCTCCTCACAAGTTATCAATTTGGGCATCCAGCGATCCTCCCAAGCCTTTCCCCAGGAAGCTGTGGTTTAGGAGCCACAAACTCACCCACAAACACTCACTGAGCAGCACAGCCAGTGTAGGGGCACTGAGGGCCCAGAGGAGAAGACTCAAACTGGGCCTTGAAGGGTGGGGTAGGAAGGAGAGGGAGGATTTTCCAGGCAGGGGTCAAAGGGTAACAAAAGGCCCAAATGAGCCTGGTATATTGGGGGGGGCAGTAAGACTAAGCTGGCACAGAAGGGGAATGTTGGCAGGTAATGTTTGCAAGGTGGTGGAAATAAGTTTGTGAAAGGTTTAGAAGCCAAACTGAGGACTCAGGACTGTCTCAGAGCCAATGGGGAGCCTACTAAAGGGTTCTGAGCAGGGGGCTACATGACTGGAGAAATCACTTAGGCAAAAGTGTAAAAGATAGAGTGGAAAGGGAGAGCCTGGGGGCAGGGCAGCCATTGCAGCAGCAGGCTCGAGTGGGGCAGAAGAGGAGGCAGGGAGAGGGAGAGGGAATAAAAGGTGTGAGAAGCAGGGTATGGGGAGTGAGTGGACAGCACCTACAAGAGAGAAAGAGGAGTCAGCAGCAGCAGCAGTAGGCTCTTCAGGGCTAGAGAGAATAAGGACTTCCATAAGACATGTCAGGACTTCCTTGAGAGGGTCCCCACACTGGGGAAGTAGCCCCTCTGTTAACAGCACTTTTAACCCTACCCTCCTACCCTTACACATACACACACACACACACACACACACACACACACAGAGTCATACATAAACACTCATACACACATACCCAATCACACAAACACACAGTCATACATCAACACTCATATACACATATAACCAATCACACACATACACACAGTCATACATGAACACTCATATACACATATAACCAATCACATATACACAGTCACACACGTACACTCATATATGCATATACTCAATCACACATTCATACTTGCACTCACGAGTTCGCATGCACGCACACACAAACACAGGAACGCACATACACCTGGACGCTCATGCTAGAAGAGTATGAAAAAATCCTTCACCAACCAAAACAGAGCTCCAAGACTTCGGGAGACCTCTCCTAGGGAGTGGCCTGAGGCACATAAAGGTTAAGTGACTTGTCTAGGATCGCACAGCTTCTAGGTGTCAGGTGAAATTGAACCCAAGTCATCCTGACTGTATGTAGCCCAACCACTAGCAAAATCAGAGGCCAGCTGATAAACAATAATCCGAAGATCATGGGACATATTTTATCTTACCAGCAGCTTCCTCCATGCCGGACCCCTCCCCCGCTCCTATCCTTCAATAGATTATTGATTCCTGCAGTACCGGAGGAACCCAAATACAGTGATTTACTAAAGACAACCTCATTCGGGCTGAAAGGTTTCATTTGGTCGGGGGGGGGGACGACAATATTGGGGAGATTTTACATTTTAAAATCAGAAGAGAGTAAGTGTGCAAACCATTCACCTTGGAAAGCAAAGAGAAAGCAGCATCACAAGGAATACAGCTGCCCGGCTTGACAAGCTCGTGTTTGGCTATGCTAACTACCCTTACAATGGACAGCAGCCACCAGTTAAACAAGCAAGCCATTAGGCAGAGATGGGCTGGCAGCTTGAGCACAGGTGGACGCTTCCTGTCAGCTGGTCCCTGGTGGCTTTTCTTCCCGACACAGTCAGAGGGAGCCTACTGCCTGGGCCCACATCCCAGTTAGGGGCTTTACAATAAAGATTACATGGCAAATCAGGGGTCACTATGGAGACATGAGAAGGGGGAGAATAAGAATATTGCTTCGCCTTTCAATAACGCTTTCTGCTCTTACAAAGAAAGCCTCTTGGCCTATGCTGGGTAAGTGGCCACTTTCCTGGGGTGTTTTCAATGAGGCACCAGGCAGAGTCTTAGCCCCAAATGCCAGCACACAATCTCTCATGCCACCATGACAGCTATACTCCATTAAGGAAGACTCCTTAAATAACCAAAGAAGAAGAAAAGGGTCTCAAGCTACACACATAAAACTCCAGGGCAGGAAGACTGTGGGAGGGGGGCGTCCTTGAGGGGCTAGCATCTTAGCTAAATGTCATGCCATCACCTAGTAGGGTATCAGATTAGCTGACAGCCAGCTGGGAGCATGAATGGGATTCATGATGAGTTTCTGGGAAAGGGCATGGAAATAAGGGCTGCCGGAAGGGAGGAAAGGGACTGATAAGGGAAATAGAAAGGTACTGGACAGGCACATTCCCCTTCACTACGCTGGGGATGAGGGGAGACAGAAAATGACAAGAAAGCCTCTGGGACAGAAGCAGGAAGAGAAGGTTTGGAGGATGCACCAGAAAGAGGCAAGGCCAAGAAAGGAAGGATTTTTTCCACAGCTCAGAGCAGGGTAAGGATTATTCTGGGGAAGAGACCCTAAGTAGTCAAC